TTCTACATTGAATATAATCAAAACAAGTAGAGCCACAACATTTGTGGGTTAGAGCACAAGAGACCAGGGCGTAGGTGAAAAAGCCAATGTTGAATGTAGAGAGTTCCCATGAAATTTGCTCAAAAAGGCACACCATATTTAAATAAACAATTAAAAATTGTGATAGTGAAGGCATGATACGAGGATATAGGATTGGTGATTAGCCCAGGGTGGAAGGAGAGGTACCAGTATTGCTCACATAAGATCGGCTTCACGTGACTCTTTGAAAAGTTGTAGTGTGGTGCTAAGACTGGCACAGCTCATTGACGATGCCGGCGAAACGTTTGGTAATGTACCATCTCCACGGAAATTATCATGCATACTATGGAATCCGGCCTAGGTGCGTTCCTTTAAGTCTTTCTATCAATATGACCAAGTTGCGAAAACAAGGTCAAGTAACTTATATACAACGAAATGAGACTGCGAACACCCTAAAGGGCACACCATTTTGGTCTTCGTACCCTGCATTTATTTTGCCTACACTATCTTTGGTTATTTGACGAAATATTTTTCTTTATTTTCAGGTGTTACGGCTGGGCGGATGTGGCTATAAAGTGCTATCTCTTCTTGAGGGTCGAGCTCACGCTTACTTATTTGCCAGTCCTGGCTGTAAGAAATGGGACACCTGTGCTCCGGAGGCTTTGTTAAAAGCCTCCGGCGGCAGGCTAACCGACTTGACTGGTAAGCCATACAGCTATTTCTCAGATGTGAAGCATGGAAATGATTTAGGTGTGTTAGCCACTCCTTGTGCTTCTTGGCATAACGCCTATGTTGACTGCCTCCGCAATTCCGGGATTATAGATGAGCTGACTCAAATTTGAAGTCTACCTTTTGCTATTTTATTGAAGATTTAGAAAGGAAACTACTCTTTCATGAATTTTTAATTTATAACTTATTGTAAACTCATTTACTACGAGTTAACATTGTCGAATCTATTTTGATGTGTAATGCCAACGTTGTTTTTTTATTATGCTGAATAAAGATCAACTGTTTCCTGATATGATAATAGCTTTGTGAGCAGTTTTACTGGGTAGGAATTCTGTCTAACAGAACCTATCTCTCTAATACTAGTGTTTTGAGACTGAAGCTATCACTTGATCTCTTTTAGTAGTGATACTTCACCACTAACCTAGTATGGTTACCAATCGTTTATTTAAATTCAAGAAAGTTTTGTTCCTATCATTGAATTAAACACTTCCATGTACTCTGCAAACTAGAGCCAATATTTTCTTTGCATCCTAACTCCAGAGTTAAAGTTTCGAGATTACACGCTACACTGTCATTATTCTACTTTCGTTGGTGGTGTTGATAAGACCTATGCGTGGTCTAAATTGCAGTCCACCCTGGATAAGAACAACATCTGGAAAAGCAAGGCAATGTGAAATTCATTGGAAACGTCAGCTCTATTCACATGCTTGTGGGAAAATTCAACTTTCAGTCAGATCATTATTTTAAACGAAATAGGGTGAATATATCTCGTATAGCTGATTTGCTGGTAGTCTCGAAACTCTCCTTATAACAACGAAAAATTAATTCTGCTAGGTTTGTTACTTTTCATTAAGTCAATGTAAAGCAACACTTAAATTTTTCTTGGTTCCCAGACATCTTACATATACTTTTTATTTAAAAGTTTGGTCATGCGAGGAGGTTGTACTCGTGACTGATAATTTGGTATTTGAACAAACTATTAATAATTTAGGAAAGAATACGGTCGCAATTGTATTGTAATCCTTTGTAAAATGATGTGATGTATGTCTGTGCGTGTCGAAGTCAGGTTACGAGACCACCAGTCAACTTGTCAGCCTAGATCTACCTATTGTTGGGGTTTTGAGTTCGTATGAAGTTGCATGATAAAGAGATTGGAAGGTTGATCTCGGCAGAAGACGACGGCTGATTTCCGTTGTACTGTAACCGTTTGACTTAAATGCCGTGCTTAGGTTGGCGTAGTCCACGGGGCATCCTTCATTTCGGGTAAAAATGGGCGGAGATTTCGTCCATCATATAACAGACCTCATCAGAGTTCGGGTTCATTCTAAAAATCTCACGTTAACACTAAGTCAAGAAGGCTATCCAGCTTTATATTCCCTCTTATATAAAATCATAACTAAAAAGAGAAAATGTGTATATAGATATGGAGTGGTTTGGCTAATTACATTTCATATTGATCATGCTACTTTCGTTCGAGTGCTTA